TTCTGAGTTTATTCATTAAACTGAAAAACTAATTTCACATTTTGAATTCATAGTGTGTTTTGTGATTTACATTTGATTATTTCAAAAAAATTCAATGTTTCTGAGTATTAAATTTTTTGACAATTCACAAAATGAATTATGATTATATATCAAATTAACATATCATTAATTTAAATTGTGAATTCACAGGATGCTTTATCATTTACATTTGATTTTTTCATCTTATGCAAATTCACATTTTGCTTCTATGTTTAATTAATATTGTATCTCTTATTTGTGCTTCTCATTGTAATTTTATAAAGAGTTGCATTGGTAATATTTTGATTCACACTCAATTAACAATGTGAATAAATGTTATGTTAAATTCATCTGTAATCCTAATTCACATTGTGAATTATATGAATAAATCATAATTTTCATATCATAAAACTGATGTTTGAATTAAGGGTAAATGACACAAAAAAAAAACACTTTTTTTACAAAGAAATTAGATTTTGACACCATGGTTTTTTTTTGTGTAAATTTTGATACTGTGTTTTCCAATTTGTTACAATTCTGACCACTTGACCGGTTAACCAGGTTACATGCTAACGTGGCATAATAACGTGTCAGTTTTGATGACGTGGCATGCTGACATTATATGCTGACGTATCAAAATTGATTTTTTTTCCATAAAAAACACTAAGTTTTCACTTTTTTTCGATTTTGATATTAAGTTTAATTTTTTATTTTAATTTTGACAATATGTTTTTTTTTTTGTTCCGGTCGAACATCATTTATCAAATTTTGTTCAATTTTGTCTATTTTCCATTTGAAACCCTATAAATATATTTTTTTTATTACATTTTAAACCGTATAAACATATTTTTTTTCATTTAAAAACCATATTTTTATTTAAATACAAGGTGTTTTTTTCTTACATTCAAAGCATTAGTTATATCATGAGAATCAAACTAATCATAATCTTCTAATAAGATGTAAAAATTTGATGGGTTGTAAACTTGATATCTGAGTTTTGATCGACTACACGCCTCCAAACCTCAAAACACATTTTAAAGTTACATATTTAATATAAAATACAATTTTTATAACTAATACATATTTATATATAAAGATATGGTTTGAGTGTAAAAAAAATGTATTTATACAAAACTATGGTATTTAAATGAAAAAAAAAACATATTTATTAAAAAAATATTTATATGGTTTCAAATAGAAAATTATCAACATTGAACAAAATTGAAAAAAAAATGATGTTCGATTTGAAACAAAAAACATAATGTCAAAGTTGAAAGAAAAAATTAAACTTAGTGTCAAAATCGAAAAAAAATGAAAACTTAGTGTTTTTTGTGAGAAAATATTCAATTTTGACATGTCAGCATATAATGTCAGCATGCCACGTTATCAAAACTGACACGTCATCATGCCACGTCAACATGTAACATGGTTAACCGGTCAAGTTGTCATAATTGTAACAAATTTAAAAACACAGTGTCAAAATTGACACAAAAAATAACACGGTATGAAAATCGAATTTCTGTGTAAAAAGAGTGTTTTTGTATCATTTACCCTTGAATTAATTTGTTAATCAAAAACATGAAATGAAGAAAATATCAACGAAAAAAAAGGATAATAAGAAAAGAATGAAATTGACAAGAAATCTAAAAGATGTTCTACCTTCAACTACAAGTGAAAAAAAAATTGAAGATATTCAAGATAAAAAAAAAAAAAAAAAAACAGGTTTGAACATTCACATTCAGATTCAAATAACTAATTATCTAATCATATACTACATACTTATTAAAAAAACTAATTCACAATGTGAATCTTTGATGTAACTCATATCCTCACAGATCCACAATGTGAATCCCTTAAAAAAATTGCAAGTTGATTACCACTTTCACTTGTTTTCACTATGCACATAATACATGAAAAGATTCACCACGTGTATGTGTACATCACTTGGTGAACCTCAAACTATTTTAGTATGAAATGTAGAGATTCACATTGTGAATCTTCGATGAACGCTCAAATTCTCAAAGATTTACAATGTGTATTTCTTAAAAAAAATTGCAAGTTGATTGCCACTTTCGCTTGTTTTCACTATGCACACAATACATGAAAAGATTCACCATGTGTTTTTGTACATCACTTGGTAAACCTCAAATTGTTTTGGTATGAAATGCAGAGATTCATAATGTGAATCTTCGATGCATATCTCACATTCAAACAGATTCATAATGTGAATCTTTTAAAAAAATTGCAAGTTGATTACCACTTTCATTTGTTTTCACTATGCACACAATACGTGAAAAGATTCACTATGTGTATGTGTACATCACTTGGTGAACCTCAAACTGTTTTGGTATGAAATACATAAATTCACAATGTGAATCTTCGATGTATATCTCACATTTTCATACAGATTCACAATGTGAATCTTCGATGTATTTCTCACATTGCAAGTTGATTAACACTTTTGTTTTTTTCACTATGCACAAAATAAGTGAAAAAAATTCACCATGTTTATGTGTACATCACTTGGTGAACCTCAAACTGTTTTGGTATAAAATGCATAAATTCACAATGTGAATCTTTGATGTAACTCATAGCCTCACAAATTCACAATGTAAATCTCTTAAAAAAAATTGCAAGTTGATTAACACTTTCATTTGTTTTAACTATGCACACAACACGTGAATTGACTCACCATGTGTATGTGTAAATCACTTGGTGAACCTCAAGAATTTTTTTTTATAAAATGTATAAATTTACAATGTGAATTTTTTTATGTATATCTCACATTCTCACATATTCAAAATGTAAGTCTCTTAAAAAAAATTGCAAGTTGATTGTCACTTTTGCTTCTTTTCACTATGCATACAATACATGAAAAGATTCACCATGTGTTTGTGTACATCACTTGGTGAACCTCAAACTGTTTTCGTGTGAAATGCAAAGATTCACAATGTGAATCTTCGATGTATATCTCACATTCACACAAATTCACAATGTGAATCTCTTAAAAAATTGCAAGTTGATTACCATTTTCGCTTGTGTTCACTATGCACACAATACATGAAAAGATTGACCATGTGTATGTGTACATCACTTGGTGAACCTCAAACTATTTTGGTATGAAATGCATAAATTTACAATGTGAATATTCGACGTATATCTCACATTCTCACAGATTCACATTGTGAATCTCTTTAAAAAATTTTGCAAGTTAATTACCACTTTCGTTTATTTTCACTATGCACAAAATAAGTGAAAAGATTCACCATGTGTACGTGTACGTACATCACTTGGTGAACCTCAAACTGTTTTGGTATGAAATACATAAATTCACAATGTAAATCTTCGATGTAACTCATAGCCTCACAGATTCACAATGTGAATTTTTTAAAAAGTTTTTGCAATTTGATTATCACATGTTGAATTTTATATTTATTGACATGTATTTAATAATATTACTTATATTTTTGACATTGACATTAAAATTTGCACATTGTGTACTTGAAGGTTCACAAAATATACCAAAAACACCGCAAGGAGAACCATGGTGGAAATTGTTAATAAATTAAGAAAAAATGAACATGAAAAGACTCGTGATGAAAACATTGAAAAAAAAAACTCTAGAAATTGATAAGATTCAATAAAAGCAAACAAAAAATTTGATGAAGCAAGATGAATATGTTTTGAAGACACATGAAAAGAAAACAACACAAGGTTAGTATTTATAAAATTATAATTTACTTTAATATATAAAATCAGTCATCATTAATTTTTTTTAAATGAACAGAAATCAGACAAAGTCCAAGATTTCAAAAAACAAAAAACGAAAGGTAGATGAAGCAATACAAATATGTTTTCAACACACCTAAAAAGAAAACAACTCAAGGTTAGTATTTATAAAATTATAATTGAATTTGATATTATAAAATTAATTCTCATTAATTTTGTTAAAACATGAAGAGAAATCAGTCAAAGTTCAAGACTTAAAATGATTGAATACAAAAAATTTGTGAGTCCTGTTAAAGTTGATGATAGCCTTGTAAAGAAAGAATATGATGAAAAAGCAACATGTTTGTTTATTACTATTCACATGTTAAATTCACAAAGTTATAAACAAATTCACATGTTTATTTTATGTATTATATTATATTTTGTAAAACATATTCGCATGTGATTTTTTTGTATTGTTAGTTATTTTATAGTATATATGGTATAGTATGAGAAGCTTACAAAAATTATTGATTAACAGGTAAAAGAAAAAGAAAAACAAATGAAGCAGAGATAAAAATTAAGAATCTCAAGACAAAGAATCTGGAAGTAGTCAAAGAAAAAAAGGCAAAAGTGCCAGTAAATCCAAATGACAGTATCTTTGAGAACATAAATGAGCACAAAGAAGTTTTATGATATCGTGAAATCTTTAAACAAAGAACAGAAAGAAAAAAAAAAGTTGTTAGAGACATGAGATTAGGATCTTTGTTGAGAATTACAACCAACGGAATTTCTAGAAAATTGGCACGTTTTGTTGTGAATTTATTCAATCCATCGGATATGAAAATCCATCTACCTAATGCAAAGATAGACATAACACCAGCTCTTGTTCATGATTTTCTTGGAATTCCTCTAGGTGGAATATATATATATATATATATATATATATATATATATATATATATATATATATATATATATATATATATATATATATATATACACAACACTGATCAATGTGAAGGAAAAGAATTAATGGATTGGAAGCAAAAGTACAATTTCAAGGCTATGTGACCATCAAATGTTGAAGAGAGGATTAAATAATCATCAAATTCAAGGCTTATTTTCAGAACAAACTTTCTATTACTATTTGTTAATACCATCTATGAACAGAATATGCATGGAACTTGTAAAACAACAGTATTGCCACATTTGTTAGGCAAAACGCCAATGAGAGAAATTGATTGATGTGGTTTATAACTAATTGCTTGAAAATGTTAAAGACGACATGGGATGAAACCAATAGAGGAAACTACTATTGTGGGCCACTTCTTGTATTATTGGTAAAGAAATTTTTTATAAGTAATACTTTTATTTATATTATTATAAGAAAACTAATTAATCATAATTTTGTTTACATAAACAGCTAGCTAATTTGGAGTTTATGAGAAATGATAAGAGTGAAAAAACACAAATAAATGCACTACATTTTTGGGATTATGAGATGATGGTGAAAAGGGAAAAAGCAGAGTTAAAGAGTGGTGACTTTGGAACTTTGGAATGGAATGATGATGTTATAAAGAATAATCAAGAATCCAACACCGATGAAAATGAAGATATGAAACTCAATGTAAGTTAATAATCTATAAAATTAAAAAAAAAAATGAAGTTGTATTACAGATATATGTTATAAAATTGTAGTTAAGATGAATTCATAAAGTGATTCACATTGTGAATATAAATGTGTATTTTATTACTTTTTCTATAATAAATTCACATAGTGAATATGTAATTTATTAAAATGCATTAAAAGTGTGATACCTCATCAATGCATTCATATGGTGAAACTGTAAATTAATATAGAAAAAAGTTTTAAAAAATTCATTGTTATTGACCTTTTTTATTTCATTTTGTAGGAATTGGTATTCAAAGCAAAATAGAATTATAAAAAACTAGTGAATGATAAAATGAAGTTTGGAAAGTTAATTGAGTTTTCAACAACAAAATTCAAAGAAAGCGATGAGTTGAAAGATATGAAGAAAGTCTTTGAACAAGAATTCATTTATAAAAGTCAAAATGGAGATGAAACAAATGTGATGAATGAAGATGATGCAAAAAGTGATCAGAATGAAGATAGAGAAACAGATGAGAATAAGGTGGATGGGAATAAGGGTGATACATATAAAGATACAAATGTAGAAACTACACTAGCAAAAAAAAATCAACCAATCATGGTAACACCATGAAATTTGTACAATGATCTAATAGCACATGATATTGTTGATTATATTTAATGTATTTTAAATTTTGATGATTATGATGATTTTTGTCAATGTAAAAAGTTTTGGAGAACAAATAAATAAATAAAAACAATAATAGATGATAAAAAAAAATACTAGAAAATCATCAATGTCTAATTTTTCACTTGGACTTGGTCTTGATCTAACACAAGAGTTTCAAGAAGGAAATGAAAGTAGTGAAGATGAACAAGAGAAAAAAGAAAGAAAAGATGAAAAACTTGATGAAGAAAAAAGTTATGATTTAGAAGAAACACAATGTGACAATAATATCTTGGGAATTGAAGATCATCAAAAAGGAAAAAGAGATGTAGGAAAAAGATTTTAAAAAACCATCATTGAAGGTATCTTCTCCTTATAATAAAAAGGAGGTTTGTGCATCGAAATTTGTAGATCCAGATGAAGTGAAGGTATCAGATAGAAATTTTTCCCGAATTGGTAATAGCATGTAATAATTCACGTATCTTTTCTTTAAATACAATAGTATATAAATACAAGTATAAATTAATTTTCTATTAACTGCTTTTTTGTTTTATTTGATTACAAAATTAAGTGAGAAGGTATTTCAAACAAAGAGGGGTATTATATGCTTGGAAGAGAAATGATTGAAACAATGTAGGCAAGATTATGGATACATGCACATGTCATTGATGCTTGGACTAGTTTTTTAAACTACGAAGAAAAGCTTAAATCAAATTCTGCAGTGAATCGGTATTTCTTTGATATATCAATGGTGGTAAGTTAATTAAAAATATATATATATCATGATAACGTTGATAATATATTAAATAAAATTTCCAATAGTTCTGAATAAGTTATAAAATTCTCCTAGTGAATCCTATTATAATTCACACTGTGAATAATTTTGAATTTAAAATTTACCTTATTGTGAATTTAACAATTATTCTTTAAAGTTTGATGTATATTTAAATTTTTTTACAAAGACAGTTCATATTTGACAAAAATATCTCTTTTCATTGAAAAGATCTGATAAGTTTTATTCAAATATCAAAGATGCAATGAAAAAGAACAAAGAACTTCTGACATTTGAAAAAGTTCACTTGGTAATAAATTGTTCTTTTTGTTGAATACATTACATCTTTTAAACAAAGTTTAACAATTTAAAATATTAAACTAGTGTTTTCCCTCTTCATAAAAAAAATATCTTTTACATCATCTGCATAAACTTAGAGGAACCAGCGGTTGATGTCATTGACAATAGGAATTCAGTGGCAAAGTTTTCTTGAGCTTATCATGATGCACCTAATGAATTGGTAAGAATAAGTAAATTTACATTCTAAATATAAGTATTAATAGATTGATAATTTGAATAAAATAACAATTATAGAAAATGACAATTTCTTTTTTGCAGAAAATACCTTTTAGTAGGTACTTGATGAGGGTCAATCACAAATCAACTTTAATTTTGGAGGGTGTTGAACCAGAAAGGGTGAAGAATTGGCGCATGAGGGATAATCATGTTGATTGTGGAGTTTTTTGCATGCGTCATATGGAGACATATATGGGAGATAAAATAGTAAATTGGACGTGTGGGTTGCCAAAAGAATCAAAACAACAACAAAGTTTGTTAAACGATTTACGCATTAAGTATTTGACAAAGATACTATTAAGTGACGCAAACACACACAACTCAAAAATCATTGCACAAACAGCTAAATTTGCAAAAAAGACTAATGAAGAAATACAAGATTTTCTTAATAAGGGATGGGAAACAAGGGGAGAAAGGATATGGTACATCAAGGGTCGGAAAAAGAAGTGTAAAACTTAAAACTTAGTTTTTTATTCATAATTGGTATAAGTTTAGATGCACTGTAATTTCTTTAAGAACATATACATGCTTGTTATGTTACAATTTGATGTGAGTTTCTATGTCAAATATAATGAACTTTACTAATACTTAAAATATGTTTATATTTGATGGGTTTTAGCCATAAGAACATCCTATGTGCTCATACAAACCCTAATGCTTGGATCTAGGTTTCTCTATTGTAGATGCAATTCATCCAAGACTATAAACCCTAATTCTAGCATATAATAATCGATGTTAACATAATAATGGGTTTAAGATATTACCTTGATTGTTATGTAGCAATAACAATCACAATTCCTCCTTGTAATGACTTCAGAAAGCTTAGAGTCACAAATGTCACTCCTCTAATGGTTCACAAACACCAAGAGCAAGAGGACGAAGAAGAGAAGAGAAGGAGGCTCTCAAAAACGTGTGGAAACCCTACATAATTTGTTCACCACGTTTTTGGAGCATAAGGGTTCTATATATAGTGAGGCTATTAGGGTTATCTAACCAGGAAACCTTAATTTGGATGCTTAAGCCCTAAGCAACCCATGGACTCCTTTCCTTAAAGGCCTTGGACGATTTCTAATGGGTTTCCCCATAGAATTCGTCCAACCTTATAATATAAGGCAATCCATAGCCCAATTGCAGTTATCTTATGATTACAATTTCAATCCCTTAAGTTTAATTAATCTCTTTTAGTCAAAAACTTAATTCTTATTAATTCTTGACTAATATTAATTAAACAATATGATTTCTCCTTTAATATATTATTCCCATAATATATTAATAAATCATATTTAATCCTTTCTCTCCATAATTCATCCTATCAAGTTGCTTTGGTGAAGGCAACCCAAAAGGACCATGCACCATCGGGTCAAGTACATACCAAAATAGTTATGGACTTAGACACTAATCCAACAGTCTCCCACTTGGATAAGTCTAATAACTATTCTGCGTATGACTTCAGATCCTGATCTGCAATCGTAGCTTTCCAAAGTCGCTGTCAACTCTGATCCTATCAGATACGCTTGTCCTTTAGATAAGGGATCATATATTCCTCCATTCTAGATATCGTATAGATATAAGACATGAATTCTAATCATTATCTCTATACTATTTCCCGACTTCCGATTTATGACGACTGACTAATTGAACAAATCAAATTAGCCCTAGCCCGGCCGAGCATTTACGTTTTTCATCACTAAATCATCGAGGGACCCTAGCAAGATACATTCCACAACTCTCAATGTGATAAGGTGCGTTTACATATTCTAATCGTCTCACCAATCACTCGTGATAAAATCCATGAAGTGATCCAAGTGAGCATGGGTTTAATCCAATGCTCAAATCATATTCATAAGCACTCATGAACGTTGCAGCAAACATTTGCTTATGTCTAATACTCTTTAGACAATCCACACACCAATTCACGATAGTCTTCATTCATACCTACTTCCAACATATGAACGACTGTGACCCGTTTGAATAATTTGACTGTTCTTAACCAATTAAATTATTCAGGAAGTCAAAACTTGCAAAGTGAAACACAAGAATAATACTAATCCCATATGGCCTCAAACCTTTTGAGTATAAATAAAACACCTTTTATTTATCACCATATCGATTACTTATTATTTGTTGTTTCGGGTAATCAACTTCTTACTTGAATTACAACACTTGTCCCATGCTCTCAGCATGCACACAATGTTTACCTATGGTTCTTACTTTGTGAAATAGATCAAATGAACACATTTCCATTCATACTCATTCCACAACTCTCAATCCTTATCACAAGTGTAAGAATATCAAATTCTTGCCACTTATAGAATATGTTAGATTCTAACATTTTATGCAATGATCCTTTCGTAATGTCACTGCACTAAAGTCACAATGACTATTGCCAATGAAATTACAAAGTCCTCTATCGGAGATTGTTACAAGACAATTCCATAGATGTGATGTCTCTCACTCAAAGTACATTTCTTTGAACATCCTTTTGCATAAAGTTTCTAATCTAGACATAGATTCTAAATATCTAACTCCCAATATGGAAACCTTTCCATACTTACCATATGACAATTTATTCTTAATAGAATCTTATCTATTCATAATAATGTCGATATACTCCATCCAATACTATACTTCCAACTACTCACAAGCAACCAATACTCGGCGAACTTTGGATTGTCCTTTGATAGTTGTTTAATTATCTTAGTCAAAACCGATTCCTTCCCTTTTTCCCTCTAAATGCGCTAGACATTTGGAAAATTTTAGAATGGTCAAATATTATAGCATTTGCAAGCATTCATATACCCGAAGCGTATGAGACACGATGCATAATGTCTTACATGAAGATTCAATACTTTATCAATCTTCTGCCATAATATTTTATGTACTATGTTCTCACAATTCGAATTATGAAGGGGAATGCCACAATTATAATCGAAATTTTGAGAACGCACTATGTACTCTTGACTAAATTTATTAACATTCCACAACCTAAGCCTTTATATTTGAAATGAAGCATAATATTCTCTCCCTTAATTATAGCAAAAAAACTATTCAACCCTTACAACTTTGCAAAATATGACTCTTGTTTTTCTATAATTAATATTAGTAACTTGCAATACTTGCCTTAATAATCATACAATCATAACATTTATGCTCCCACTATCATGATGATTATTATAAACATAACACTTATTCTCCCACTAGCTTTGATATGTATTCAGAACCAGCTTAACTTCCAGAAAAACAATACCTATTGAATTTCTTAAGTTCATATTTCTAAAACTTAATGCTTTGATAATCTTTTATCAAAGCTTCTTAATCTCGTACACCTTTATCCAAGACAGCTCATATGTGTGTCTTAAACAATTCAAACTAATTGCCAAATTTCACAATTCGAATTATGGAAAGGGATACCGTAACCATAATCGAATTTGAGAATACAATTCTACAATCGCTATCTTCTTAAAATCTCTCTTGGTGAAAGCATTTCCTCACATCCATCTTCATGAAGGAGGAAATCTTATGACACTTAGATTTTAAAGGTGTATGTGTTTCTATCAATGTGAATTTTTCAAAACCAAAGTTTGCGACAAATCCAAACTCTTATGGACCAAACTTTCTT